GATAATGCCTACGGCTTTAAGTTCGCCTATGTACAGAAATGTGTGTGCATAAAGCCTAATAAATAAATAAATAAATAAGTAAATGATACATAACACTTGGAATCAATACTGTGAATCGTACAACTAAGTACTAACTACGTATAACCAAATAATTCCTTATCCCATACGAATATTGAACGCATCTTTTAAAATCACTAATATGCATAGTCTTGTAGAGGTTACTGCAGGTTTCAGGCATTAAAAGCGTTTAAACAGCGAAGGTTTTGACATAAACTTTCAAGTCAATAATCACATGCAAAATATCAAGGATCTGCATATTCAATAAGAGGTTAGAAGGACAGAGATAAAAACATATTTCCATGCGAACTTCAAATCAAATATTACAGCTAAAAAAATATTTAAGTGTATAGTTCACTTAAATATTTATCTGTGTACTTAAAAAAACAAACCATATATGTATAATCATAAAATTTATAACTATAAAATATTATAGTTCCTATAACTTATTAATATTCCGACATAGCTCGGATCCAATCCGGAATTGTATGTCCATAGTATATTTGCACAACGAAATAAATTGTGCAGATTTATGAGTGCACATTTATCTGGAATTCAATCTTGTATGCACATTGCACAGTTCGTTTAATCAACACTACGGAGTAATAAATTCTGGTATTGTAATACATATATCGACATTGGCGACTCAACTTTACAACATACATAATGTAAAGTAACAAACTTGCATTTATTTTATAACCTAATTTTTTATAATAATGCAATTTTTTTTTGTCTGTGAATGTGAGTGAGGGAAAAGTCATGAAATGTACGCATATTTTTCTCCTACACTTTACTTTTGTTATATTGTTTTACCATGCTTTATGTATTGTATTTTTAATATCTTGTTCGTTTTTTGTCTTTTATGCGTCCCAGACGCGAATAAATACTTTTTGTTTTTTTTGTTTTGAAAGTGCCTTTTCTCGCCCAGGTTGAGGCGAGTGAGTGTCAGACTCTTACTGACTAAAAACCCCTGGTTCCTACGCCTGCTTAGGCCGAGGTCGTGGCACTTTATTGCACTAACCCCGCAACCGCGGCTAGTAGTCGGCCTTGTAGGGCCCTGTCTGTGGCGGTCTATTAGCTGGGAGTGCACGGAACGCTACTCGCCATGCGCTCGAGTAAAAATATATACCTACAATAGTATATTACGATATACAAAATATTCTCTTCTGATATGTTCGCTTCTTTTCCCGACTAAATTGACCACAAATTTGAAAAAAACTAGGCAGCAATGCTCTCGGATAATATTTAGCAAACAATTTATCATCAGCTTATAAGTTCCCACTGCTGAGCAAAGGCCTCTTCTCACACGGAGAAGTATAGCATTAATCACCACGCTTGCTCAATGCGGGTTGGCGATTTCAAACTTATAATTAGAAATTATAAGTCCAGGTTTCCTCACGATGTTCACCGCATGTCAGTGGTGTCTAGGTGTCTAAATAATCATAGAAAGTACATATAACTCGGAAAAAGTCACATTGGTACTTTCCAGGTTTCGATCTCACACCCTCATGCATGATGCAGGCTCCTTAACCTCCGGGCCACCACGACATTTAGAAAACAATTCCTGCCGCTGAATGATTGACTTTTAATAGAATTATCGAAATATTGAATATTATCTTGAACTCATTTTCATTGTTGACTGGAATGTCTGTGAGGGCAATGACCTCACGACTAGTTTAGTTGCCAGCAGTTTTGTATTTACATATTAATATTAGTTTTAAATCGCTTTCTAAGTAAATTTCACAAAACTTTATTGAACATAAATAAGAACTATAGATCGATTTTACCACCAAGACAAAACAATATAACCGCAAGCGCAATCGTATATATAAAAATGGATCGAAAATGTGTTGGCAAGCGCATAACTCAACAACGCCTGGACCAATTTTGCCAATTCTTTTTTTGTTGTGTTTGTTATTGTCAGGAGAACTTCTTAGCAAAGAAAATATTAGAAAAGTAGATGGGAAGATTAGGAAAAAGTGAACCTTTGATAGCGAGAAAGTTGGACCCATGCGAAGCGGGGGCGGGCCGCTAGTTTTGTATAAAAATATAACAGTAACTTATTTACAATGTTTAACAACAAAACTTCACAGAATCATTTACAGGGATGAAAAGAACAAAAAGATCTTATACGATTTCTTATAATCTAATATCAAAGAATAATTAAGACAAAAGGTCCTCAATTTTTATACTGTACATTTAAATACAAATTTTACATAAAATAATGCGGTTTTTTAGATGTGGTTATCTACCTTTTGTAATAGGGCCATATAGAACCCTCAGTGTGTTTGTAATATATGTTTTTATGCAAAACTAGCGGCCCACCTACTTTTCTAAAATTTTCTTTCATAAGAGCCTTCTCCTGACAATAAGAAAAAGAACAAAAAAAAATTGTAAAAATTATTGTATCCGTTTTTGAGGTATGCACTTACTGACACATTTCGCGATTCCTACATAATTATATATGAAACTAGCTATTCCTGCGCGGTTTCATTCGCTGCTCGGTTCCATTTGATTGTAGCGTGATGTTTTATACACTAAAGTATTGCATACATATAAAGAAAGAAAGAAAAAAATGTGTACAGTGAAATTTGGTACAGACATAGTTTGGAACTCGAACTCGAACTTTTTATACTAAAAATCTGCACGCAGTCACTATTCCACGCGAACGGAGTCGCAGGCAAAAGCTAAGTGTTGTAATAAAAACATGCTTCACACAAGGTCATGTCAGGTACTTGTTCGAGTATTGAGCTTCATTCCTTATTTTATTTCGGCAGTTACTTGTACCTAATAACGTTTTCTACGAGGATACAAAGGTGCAATGTACAAAATCAGTTATTTTTAGGAAACATAAAGGTACATAAATAAATACATAACAACCTAGAATAATGCATAACTTCTTAGAAGTCAATAAAACGATTTCAAAGATTTTTATGATAATGTGGAAGTGGAATGAATTCTTTCTAAATTCTTGTTTTGATCACTTCAATTTTATGGTTCACTAGCTTTTGCCCGCGACTTTGTTTGCGAAGAATAGTGACTTCCTGCAGATTTTTGGTTTAAAAACTAGGTATCCTATGTCCTTTCTCGAGTTCCAAACTACGTCTGGACCAAGCGTAAGTTAAGCGTGAAGAAAAGACAGACACAGAGTTACTTTCTCATTTATAATATTAGTTTGGATTCGATCGTAGGTCCAATCGTAGGACCTAGATCTGATTGTAGGTCCAATCAATTTTATTTTGTAACTGTAGGCACACATTGTGTTTATCTAGTTTACTTCATCTTGTCATGTGATATGTCGGCAAACGAGCCGATGGATTACCTGATGATATGCAATCAGCGGCGCCCATGGACACCCACAACATCAGAGGAGTTAGGAATGCATTGCAGGCCTTATAGGGATTAGAGTTTTAGAAGTTGACTGGAAATGGAAAAGGATTGGGTCTCCGGTAAACGCACTCACACAGCAAAATACAACGCTGTGGTTATTTCACGCAAAATTTCTGTGACGCTTGGTACCACTAGTCGAGTCCGCCCGTCCATCCCATTCGTGCCGAAGCTTGTCTCCCACACTTTTGTACAAATTACGCTCGTTCTACTTCGTTGCACATAAAATTGTTAGTTTTATCAATACATTGATCTTTTTAATTCATAAAATTAATGGAAACATTTTGATAATCCTCATTCTACAATTTGATTGAAACTTATTCAGATTCCTTTATTTAAACTCTAAGTTTAAATCCTTCATTTAAATAGTCTTTAGAACAGTGCCTATGTTCTCAAAACTTTGAGTATAATCTTAGACTTTCAAAATTATATCTGGAGCTGTACTGACTAAGCTGTAGTGGTAATTGTACATAAATGACAATTATGATTGAAGGGTGACACATCTTTATATATAAAAATGGATCGCAAAATGTGTTGGTAAGCGCATAACTCAACAACGCCTGGACCAATTTTGCTTATTCTTTTTCTGTTGTGTTTGTTATTGTCAGGAGAAGGTTCTTATCACGAAACGTAGAAGGAAAGATAAAGAAAAAGTGACCCTTTGATAGCGAGATAGTTGGACCCATGCGGAGCATGGCGCTGGTAACATATAATAAAGTCATGCAGTAATAAAAAATATTATTTATTTATTTATCTTTATTTCACAGTAATAAGTTAATTATAAGCTAAACCCCACAAAATTATTATAATGGTTTGATTGTGGGGTCAATGTGTCTCTCAACAAACTAATTAAGTGATAGATATTGTATTTATAAAACTTAAAATATTTATATGAATACCTGAATTTCCCAATTGTGATGCTCAAGAGAATGACTTCTGAGCTTGCTTCGGCATTTCTTCTCAGAATAGTCAGGAAATGCCAGCTTCGCCTAGTTTGTACCTTTATTTTTGACGTGGAAAAGAATTGTTGTTATGGCCTTTTTGCAAAAACGAATTAATTTAACGTTTCATTGTGATGACGATAGAAATGGACTTATCGCTATGCAAGAAAATATTTTTGTAAATTTTCATCACCTAGACCAGTAAGCTCCCTCCCTGTTTAGCCATTATTTTAAAACCACGAATATAAATATTATTATTTTGTGCACATTTTAATCAACCCACAATTTGTGTATACACATTTTGCCTTTTTGAATTTAATTCTATTTTTACTTTCTCACGTGAATTATATCATTCAAACGTTATACACAAAAGTCTAATCATCAAAATTTAATGCACTTGTTCATTTCACATTAAGTATAAATGTTTTTTCAAATTCCATTAAAATATCCTTGCTTATAAGTATACCTTTTACATAAAAATAATATATTTTTCACTGACTTTCCTTGAAGGAAAACTTAACAGAACTTTTCCTACCGAACCAGAACCTCTTTTGCAAAACCCCAAACTGTTTTTGTTCTTATTCTTTTTTTAAATTAATTTTTCTTTTGTTACAGGCAACACGCTGTAGTGATCACCGTTCGAAGTAAACATAAGGCAGTGTCTACATTAGTGTTTTAATATTTATGAAAGGACATTAAACATAAGGGTTGTTTGAAGTGTAAACTATGCCTAATTTTATCATCATATTATATTTTTTGTATCGTTTTTTAGTCTAATTTATTAATGCATGTCAAAAACTGTTATATTTTAAAGACTTATATATTTAAGAATGTTAGTTGTTATAGTTTTTTAATATACCTACTACTATTTCCTTATTCATATGAAATATGAAAATGTGTTAGTATATGTATGTAAATAGAGAATTTTAGTATACGAAAAATGTACAGGATAGCCAAAAACTAATTTCTAATGTAAATACAGTGTTGTAAACTATGAATAAAAGTATTTACGTCAATTATGTAGTTCTATAATGAACTTTGAGCCCATTGACGAAAGTACTTTTTTCTATAAATGTATAGTCATTAGATATAGGGTGTTCTAAGTAGAAATGTGTTATGCTAAAAATATTTTTGTAATGTAAAAAATACAATTAAATATAAAAATGTAAATAATATGCAAAATGCCCTGTAAGTAACGTCAATGGATAAACTACGTTCAATTCGCTGTCATTATATTTAATAAAGTGTACCAAAGATTTGAGTTTATTTTATTTTTTTATAAATTACTTACAATAAGAATCTAATGAAAATGGTTCATTACTTTAACAACCAGCGAAGAGCAATTATAACTATCATTTTGTGATTGGTCGGTAAACGAGCTGACGGATTACCTGATGGTATGCAATTGGCACCAACAATGAATAGAAGAGTTACGAGTGCGTTGCTGGGATTAAGGTTTGGAGATTTAGGGAGGGGAAGGATTGGGCCTCCGGTCACCTCACTCACACGTTGAAACACAACGCTGTAAATTTTTAGCCCCGTTGTATCACTCCGATCGAGTTTTCTTGCTTAAGTTTGGCTCTCGCAGGCTTTTGTTTTTGGGGCTCAAATTCCCTATTCCATGACAGCCATTCTGAACTAAAACAGTGATTATTATGTCATTATTAGCAAAGGCATTCATAGAACAGGAGTACAACAATCGAAGCTAATTCTGATTTACTACCTACGACTCAATTCTAATACAAAATTATATTCTCATTCACAGTTCACGCTAAACTTTTATATTTTTACAATAATGTTTCAAAGAAGGTACACCTAATGATCCGGACACCTACTTTGTACCCAAAATGTATCAAAATTTAAATTCATTCCATTTTAGAATACAGGTATCGAAATTTTAATATTTGAATACAAAATTTTGAATGTAGAACTTTGAAATTCTTGAATACAATCATGACAATCGGATAATATGTCTGGTGAATAAATTCGAATAGAGAACGAATCAAATTGGAACAGCATATTTTATGGTAAGACAGCCAACTTTTAGTAGGTCTATCCATATAGATATTTTATGCTACTATGTTCAAGTATATTTCTAGAAAAAGTAGCACATTATATAGCATTATTTTGATCTAAGATGCAGGCAGAGGTCTTTAAATTACAATTTAACAACCCTTCAGTCCTGAAGAAAACTTAGGAGAGTTTGTGGAAGTCTTTTTTGCGTTGAATGCAATACTAATTTCATTTAAATTCGGTAGAATAATTAAAAAAAAACAACGTTTACGATAAAACTATTTATCGTTATTTTCAGACACTTTAATAGGTTTGTTTTTGTACTGAGTCATAGTTTTTATTTCTATATTAGAAAAAAAAACAATCATTAATGAAATTGTAATTTGTAAATTAACATTGTCAATTTAAAACGTCAATAACATTAACAAACGCAACAGTGAAACAGTGCTGTAAGCATAAAACTCAAAACTTATGGAAAAGTTTTACTTCAAGTTTTAAGTCCGCCAATTTAATTTATTAATTTTAACTCGTAAATAAATTGGTGTATTAACCTTTTGAACGCCAATGTCGGCTATAGCCGACATGAGCAAGCGTGCCCTGTGCGCCAACGACGGCTATACTCGACAAAAAACAGGTCGCAGAAAAATACAAAATAAACCTATTAAATCATTACTTTTATGTATTTTATTGATACACCTTGAAAGCTGAATGTCTAAACATTATTTAGTTGCATACAGTAAACAAAAATGCATATTCCTCATTTAAATATTTGATGATAAAAAGTAAAATAATTTATGGTTAAAAAAGTAAGTCCCATGACGCCAATGTCGTGCAGAGCCGACTGCTAGTGATGTAGTATCATGTTGACGTATATTATATTCTTAAATTAATTTAGGTAACTTAAGGTATTGTAATATTTGACATTACAGTTTTTATTGTTCTAACAAAATATAAACGATTGTAAGCACTGAGAAAAAAGTAGTTTTACTTTATTAAAAACTGAAACATAGTTGCGTAAATACATTTTCGATATTCCCTTATCGTTATACTTAAAAATCGTTACGTATATACTACGCAATTTCATACGAAAATTTTGATTTATTTTATACATATAATTAATCTGATTAGTGAGAATATTAGAAAGTTCCTGTTATAAAAATTGTTGCTATGTAATAATATCACGTGATAATATTATTCATAAGTGACATGTAAGTAATATGATCTCAAAGTAATTATTAATAATATAACTCAATAATTAAACTAAATGATTGGTAAATAAATAGTTTTATTTGCATTCAATCCATTAACAACCCAAATTGTTGCAATAAGTGTAAATTTCAGGAATAATAAAAACAAACTACTGTGGCCTTTGAATTTAATTAGATACTAACATCGATAAACTGTATGACACTATGGTACAACTCTAATGTACATGCAACGATGTCTTATAAAAGACTCGTCGACGGCGCCAATGTCGGCTATTCCCGACAGTGAAGTACATCAGTACTGAGAATAGTGCTGTACCTAGAGTTATTTTCATTTTAACTGTTGTGTGTCTTAATCATTGTTTTTATGTTATTAACAACTTCGGAACTACTTGAGTGGAACGTTGTAAAATATTTAATATTGGAATGTTCTTTTTAACATATTAATGATCGACCATTTATCTGGCAAGTATTGATAAAAAAAATAATAATAATGGGTATCGATATAATGTTGAAATCCCTATTTTTTTGTAGGTATTTAATTAAGATTTTCGGGCTTGGCGTACAGGGCATAGGAATACCGATATGGCGTGGCGGTGAAAAGGTTAATTTGGAATTAAATCCAAGATTGGGTATTTAAGGCCTTACAATTGTGGTAATATGAGACAATAGGTGCGCTTAGAGCTTGATGAACAAAACGGTTTTGAATGTTTTTTTTAAATGATAGATAGGTAAGGAAATCGGCAGCGCCAATGGCCACCCGCAACACCAAAGGATTTGTTACAAGTGCGTTTCTGGGCTGTTAGTTATTTGAGATTATTGATTTATTGATATTATTTGGGAGATTATTGATGATTCCTGAATCACAGAAAAACTATTACAAAAATGTACAAAAATCACAAAAATCAAAAAAATTGCTAAGTTTTAACTTATGACAAGTTAGCCAGTTTTTTGAGGTGGGAAATCGTCAATCGACTCTTGGCGACCTGGACGAAGTGAAAGATAGCATCATTCTCTTACTAACTAAAAACCACCCTTCTTCATATTATTATCCAGCTGCAAGCTGGACCACGGTATGTCATTGAGATTGACCCGCAACCCCGACAAAATGTATGGTACCAAAACAACAGGTCTTTCCTATACCAACAATTTCAGACCTAAGCTTCTTAGATATCGGTAGCGGTATGCCCTGCCTGGGCTGAGCACCGCCGTGTCCTCACGGAAGTGGTCGGCGGCGGCGAAGTCTCGCGCCCGGCCTTAGTCGAGGCCATGGTGCGGAGTGAGAGGAACTGGGACGCCGTCTCCTCCTTTTGTGAAGCAATCATGCTCGCAAAGAGAGAGGCGGCCCGCGTGAGGGAGCAATCCTCCTCCTCACGCCCCAGCCGCCGAAACTGGCGACACTCCGGGCGTCGGGGATCAAGGGACGATCTCCGGCCACCGTAAGCACGAGTCTGCGGTTGGCGAGTAAGGGCAGCTCGCCGCCCGACCAGAACCAGGCCCGAGCGTACGGCGCGTAGCGTTCCGCGCGCGCCTCAAAGAGCCAATAGACCACCACAGACGGGGCCCTAAAGGGCTGATGTTCAGCCGGGGTTGCGGGGAAAGTGCAATGAGGCACCGCGACCTCGGCCCAGAGCAGGAGAAAGAACAGGGGGGTTTTTAGTCAGTAAGAGTCTGACACTCCCTCCCGCCTGGCCCTGGGCGGGAGAAGTCATTTGATGAATTTTCCCTCACAAAAAATAAACCTTCTTAGATATAGAATCACATTTTAAGAAATTGATTCAAACATTCGACATGTCCCGTCCCCGTTTCTCTACGGATACGAACTTGTGACTTTGAGAAGGAAACACATGGCACTAATCGGTGAAGTTCCACAGTAACTGTCCAACGGTTGGCACAGATTATGTCGACAGAACCACAACTCGCAACTTTTTACAGATCCTTAGGAAAGTTTAAATTGTGCTTTATACATTAAGATCTTAAGTTTAGTTTTAATTGAAGTGTGAGATTTAGGTAATTTTTTTGGTACCATCAGTAGCAACAGAGTTTTTTTTTAAGTTGTTAGAATCATCAATTGTCTTCTCTCGCTCTGATTGCCGCAAGCGATAGTGTCAGACTCTTTCTGAAAAAACCCACCCCATGTTTTGCTCCAGGTCAGGAAGTTGTGTGGTTAAGTGGTAGGTAGGTAAGGAGGATGGAAATAGAGGTCATATGAAGATGGATGGTTTCCTTAGACTAAGTTCACCTGCAACCACTAAGGCATCGTGATTGCGTCATGCCAGTGGAAGAAATTAAATTATTTCAATACGTCATCAATAACGAACTAATATAGTAGAATAAAATCAGCATTTTTACACAATAACAAAAAAAACTTATTATTTCTTAATACTTTTTTTTAGATAAGTAGATAAGAACTACTTTTCATTTGCTCTGTTCTTTTTATGCAGGTACAACAATAAGTGTTGATTCGTCCACACAAT